TATTATTATTATTATTATTATTATCTTTTAACTAAAAGATGTCAACTTGATAGACACTGCACACAGATTTGGGAAGCGGCATGAAAAGATAACATAACAGATAGATTTAGGCAGTGGGAAGAAAGAAGGTGCAATGGAGATTGGATTGAAGAGTGTTCGAGGTTGGTTCAATGTACAAGGAGGCAGAAAAGAGTGTTTGTAAGCAAAAAATAGTAAAGTGTGTGCACAAGGGAAGATTGGGAGGAAAGATCCAAATATATAGCAAGAGAGAGAGATAGCTTGCAAAATAGTGAAATGTAGGGGTCAAAGGAGAATAGGAGGATATTCACAAACATGGTTTATCACTACGAGAGATTAATCTCCACTCTGCATCATGATACGATATATATATATATATATATATATATATATATATATATATATATATATATATATATATATATATATACATAAACAAATTTAAAAAACCAGAAAGAAAACACAAAATGAGAAAGTACAAAAAGGAAATGGCTTGAAAAAAGCCTTAGATTCATGCTATTTTGATCAACATTTTTATTCATCCATTCCAATTAGAAATGGTAGTTTGAGTTGTGTATTAACATAATTTAGTTTAGCTAGCTTAAGCTGGTTTGAGCACTAATACTTTTGTTCAAAGTTTCAACAATACCTTCTTAATTAATTCATCATTTGTAGCTAGCTACTCTAAATATTGCAATACATTTTACTACATGCATTTTGCTTTATATATATTTGTTTAATTTATACTGGACTACTAGTTGAGTTTTATACTCATGGGTTGTATTACTTGTTACAAAAAGGAATGTCTATATTTTACACTTCAAGATTTATGTTTTCTACTCAGCAGCAAAAGAAAGAGGCAAAGAAGAACACTAAACGCACTCATCAACAATTACGTTTGGTAGAAAACATGAATGGAAGAAGCAAATGAAACATGCAAAATCTCAGAAAATGCAATCTCCTATCACACTAACATGTTATTTTTCTCAAGAAGCAACATGCAAAGTTCTCTTCCTCAATAATGACCTCTACACTATTCGATCATAAGAAGCAAAAGAACAAACATTTGGAGTGCATGTTTACTGCGTCATTGTTTAGGAAATTTCAAAGAAATATGGGGTTCAAAGTTATTATTCAACAACAAATTAGCATGCAAATTCAGGGATATCAGTGAGAATCCGCAAAAAGCAGTCATATGCTTACCTATTTCGTCTATGCAGCTAACACGATCTGTAACAATTTGGGGTTACAGGATATCATTAAATTTCCCCACAATTTTTTTTTTAAATAATCAAAATAATGAAATTAGGAAATAAGGAAAGATTTGGATAAAATACCTAAGCTAGTTTTGATTCTACTTCCGTCGACAAGGGAGGACGGCGGCGTCTCCGGCTTCTAGTTCTGGTTCTGCTTGCGTCGGCAGTGGAGGACGACGGCATATCCGGCTTCTGGCTCTGCTTGCATTGACAGGGGGGGACACCAGCGTCACCATCTACTTCTTATTTTACTTGCGTCGGCAGGGGAGGCGACAAGAGAGGATGAAAAATGGCGGCTATTGCTTCTACTTTGTCGATAGAAAGGGAGAGTTGCGGCGTCGTATGTGGGGAAAAACTGCATTGTTACGGTTACTTGGTTAGAATGATTATTTAGGATTTAGGATTTTGAATTTTGGAGAAGATGGGTTTTAGGTAAATTTAGGATTTAGAATATTTTAAGAATTTTAAGAATTAGGAATTTTATGTTTTAATTTAAATTTTTAATTGCTAAATTTAGGATTTAGGAATTTTTAATTGTTAAAGGTTAGTATTTCAAATTATAATATATATATATATATATATATATATATATATATATATATATTAATATATATTTTAAGAATTAAAAATTTGGGTTTGAATTTTAATTTTTTATTTAATTTGTCTTATAAAAATTATGTCGTTTTGAATTAATGATTACAATAAATATACTTCAAAAATATTTGAGAAAATTAATTATTTAATTACTTTTAAAATTTTTGTATAATCAAAAATTTTGTATACTTAAATATTCATACAAACTTTAATTATTATCTTTAAAAGTGTGTGAAATTCGGTGAAAATTTATTAAAGATCGAACCAAATAATTCAATTAATTAATTTTTAAACAAAATATTTCAGTTCGGTCTATGGTTAAAGATTTTTACAAATTTTAGTTACTGATAGTGTGGTTATAAAGTATTGGTTAATTGAATTAAGATTAAGTATATAGTTAGTGTATGTGTGTATATCAAACACTAAATCTAACACGAAAGGTAAAATAGGTAAATGTTTAGTACAATTTTAATATAAGATAAAAATCATTATTTTTTATATAATCAAAATGAGTATTTTTAAACTTCAAGTAAAAATAATAGTAAAGATGAATATTGTTGTAGATAGTTATAATCGATAATAAAAATGATTTCTTAACAATTTTTTATATTAAAATAAATTCAATTTATAATTTTATATTAAACCGTAAAACTTAACTTAATTTTTGTTAGAAGTGAAATTTAGTGTATTATAATAAGTTTACTGTTATTATGAAATACTCCATTTGTTCCTAATTCCATGTCACATTGCCATTAGCACGATTTTTAATGCAAGAAAAACACATATTTCTAACTTTCCAATTATTCCCTTCAAAAGTATGTGTCATTTGTATAAAGTACAATTTTACTTACCTCATTAATTGTCTAGAAATTTGAAGAAGTAGAAATGACAAATTGTAAAATGTAAAATAATAGTTATGTTCAATTTTGAATTAAAGACACTATACTACAATGTAATAGAACCATTAGCTTTCAAAAAAAAAAAAAAAAAAAAAGAATTAAAGACACTATTTCGGGACAAACTTAAAAGGAAAGTAAGGCAGGTAAAATGGGATGGAGGGAGTAGTGATGAAAGAGTTATGCAATTTAGTTATAGCATATGAATTAATATGTAAATTAAAAATTTTCACTTTTATTAATGCTAAACCTGATGCATAATTTGACCATTAAAAAATTATAAACTTTAGTTAAAGAATAAAATAATCCCGCAACAGAAAGCACGATCATCGCAAGTTACGTCACACGGGTGGGTTGTTGGGTTTGGGCTAGTTGGGTCAGATTAGATCTGGACTAGATTTTAATATCGGAATAGTTCATGTTATTATAATAGACTAGATTTTTTTTTTTTTTTCTGAAAATTTATAACTTCGATCTTAACATATACGGAGTAATATTTTATGAAATTTATTTTTAAATAAGATAAGTTTTCAAAAAAAAAAAAGATAAAGATTTTTATTTTATACATCTAAATTAAATTTGTAAAAATAATTATATTGTAATAATGTGTTCTTACTCATATTAAACATGATTAAATTTTAATTAATTTATAAAATGAATATTGTGCCATGCATGATGCATTGCCAAAGTAGAATTATTTGGCTAGATCAAATTAAATTTCAATTATATAATTATTTTATAAATTTTGCCAAAAAGAAGTCTCAAATTTTTAATTTTGTGATGATTCTACAAATTGTAATTCAACTACTAATGTACTTTATTAAGAAATTCTTAAAATTTTGTAATTTTAAATACTTTGTATTAATAATTTAATATATTTTATTATTTTTAGTAATTACCCACATAAAATATCCATTCTTATTGTAATTTCAAATATTTATGTTCACAATTTTATCTTAAAAATCAACATAATTATTAAATAAAATATTTATAAATGAATAACCTCATATTTCATTTATATATATAAAATTTAATAACATTAATAATTTTAAATAATTCATATGCAATTTCAATTTTACATTAAATTTTAAAATTTTTCCACGTGTAATACCAAACCTAGTGTAAAATTTGACCATTAAAAATTTATAAATTTTACTTAAAAAATAAATATTCTTGTGACGGAAAAAAATGACCGTCGCAAGTTCCGTCGCCAAACTCAAAGGTCAAATCTATCTTTGCACCAAACATCGGAACAACATTAATTTTTGTTGTTGATTCCATTGTCGTAGTGCGACGGGCATGTGGGGCGTCACATGTTCTTTTGCCAATGTGTAACATATTTAGCGACGGAATGGATTTCGTCGTCTCATTCTGTAGCGAAAATAAACTTTATTTAAAAAATTAATCATTTAGTGACGGAAATAACGATCTTCGCACGTTTCGTCGCCAACCTCAAACGTCAAATCTATCTTTGCGCCAAACATCAAAACAAAATTAATTTCTGTTGCTGATTCCCATCGCCATAGCGCGACGGACATATGGGGCGTCGCATTTTCTATCGCCAATGTGTTAACATATTGGCGATGGAATTGATTTCATCGTCTCATTCTGTAGCAAAAATAAACTTTACTTAAAAAATTAAATATTTTAGTGACAGAAAAACAACCGTCGCAAGTTCCATTGCCAACCTCAAACGTCAAATCTATCTTTGCGCCAAACATCACAACATAATAAATTTTAGTTGCTGATTCCTTTGCCATATCGCGACAAACATGTAGGGCGTCACATTTTATGTCGCCAACGTGTCAACATATTTGTGACAGAATTGATTCCGTCGTCCTTTCTGTAGCAAAAATAAACTTTATTTCAAAAGTTAAATATTTTCGCAACGGAAAAATACCCGTCGCAATTTCCGTCGTCAGCCTCCGTCGTCAATTCCTTGGTGCAAAGATTATGTGGGAATATTTTCCACTTTGCACCAAATATCACAACAGAATTTATTATCGTCGTTAATTCTGTCGCAAAACCGCAATGGAACCATCGACCATTGCTTTTTCCGTCGCTAATGTGGTGACAAAACTTAATTCTATCGCAAAATCTGTCACCAAAATGTGAGCGCCAAAATTTTTTGGGTTTTTTCTCACTTTGCGCCAAAACTTGCTACGGAATTAAATTTCGTCACCATTTTCGACGCAAAATCGTGACGGAACACGTTCCATAGAAAAACAGTCGCGAATCAACAACGGATTGCATTTTGTCGCGATGTTTCCGTCGTGATTCGTGATTTTTCTTGTAGTGTTCTTTTGATGTGAAAATGTAACTTAGGACCAGACTGATGAGCACCGCACACTCTAGAGTGAGCCTCCTCCATCGCTTGTAAAGCTTCCTCTTCGCCTAAACATCGAAGAAACACACCATCAAACGAGCGCCGGTATAGCGCATCCTTGAAATATATGAAGCGAGGAGCTCGACGTCTTACATCTACCCTCTTACGAGGGTCTTGAGGTAACTTCCCATCAACAAGGTAGTCAATCAATGATTGCCTCCAATCCTCTTTATCTACCTCATAGACAGAAACAGTCGGGAGTTCAACAATGTCGTCAAGAGAGCCATCGTCCACGAAGATTGGAGGGACTACCCATCTTTGGCATACTCGTAGCCGAGCCTCATCTATAGGATGTGATAGAGTTGAAGCCAAAGCAGCTAAGGCATCGGCTTGCTTATTATGTTTCCTTGGAATGTGCTCCATCGTAGCATCTCCTAGCCAATGCAGGAGCATCTTTGCATAACTGTTGTATGGGATCAACTCTGGTTTTTTTACTTCGTAAACCCCAAGTACTTGGTTGATAATCAGTTTGGAGTCTCCGTATATGTTAACCCTTAGTTGCTTCATATCAGCTGCAATTTCAAGTCCCAAAATGAGTGCCTGATACTCGGCAACATTATTCGAGCAGCGCTCTGTCAAGGTAAATGAATAAGGAAGCACTTCCCCTTCAGGCGTAACAAAGACAACTCCAGCGCCTGCCCCCTCTTTGTGTGCCGCTCCATCAAAGTACATCTTCCATGGAGGTAAAACTTCGACCACAAGCACGTCCTCATCAGGTAGGTCACTGGACAGCTCCCATTCGGCAGGAATTGGATGGTCAGCTAGGAAATCTGCTAAGGCTTGCCCCTTGATGGACTTCTGTGGTACATAAGTGATCTCAAACTGTTGAAATAATAAGTACCACCTAGCAAGTCGATCGGAAAGAACAACCTTTGACATGACATACTTCACTGGGTTTGCCCTGGAAACTAGTCGAATTGTATGCGCTTCGAAATAATGCTTGAGCTTTCTGATGGCGAATACAAGGGCCAGACACAACTTCTCAATTGGCAGATATTTGAGCTCATTTGGCGTCATCATTCTACTTAAATAATAAAGGGCATTTTCTTTCCCGTTATCATTCTCTTGTGCAAGTAAAGCACCCACCGAGCTTTCTTGGGCGGAGATGTAAAGGATCAGCGAGCGTCCTGGAATTGGAGCAGTTAGCACATGCGGCTTCATTAAATAGGACTTGATACTTTGGAAAGCATTCTTGCAGGCCTCATCCCATACAAATGGGACACCCTTCTTCATTAACCGGCTAAAGGGCTGACATCTTCCTGCTAGGTTTGATATGAATCTTCTTATATAAGCCAACTTCCCTTGTAAGCTTTTAAGCTCATGAAGATTCTTTGGCTCAGGCATCTTCATTATAGCGTCGATCTTTGCTTGTTCGATCTCAATGCCCCTATGTCGAACAGTAAACCCAAGGAATTTGCCAGCAGCAACCCCAAAAGCACATTTCAGGGGGTTCATTTTGAGTTGAAACTTCCACAAGCGGTCAAATACTTGTCTTAGATGCATCATGTGGTCTGTGCGGAGTTTCGACTTCACAACCAGGTCGTCTGCGTAACATTCCACCATTTTATGCAGCATGTCGTCAAATATAGTCTGCATGGCCCTTTGGTATGTAGCACCTGCATTTTTCAAACCAAAGGGCATCACTTTGTAGCAGTAGATACCTTTTGGCGTACGAAACGCAGTAAACTCCTCATCTTCTGGCGCCATGCGGATTTGATTGTAACCGGATGAGCCATCCATGAATGACATGATCTCGTGTCCAGTTACAACATCTATCATTAACTCTGCGATAGGGAGCGGGAAGTCATCTTTCGGGCATGCAACATTAAGATCTCGAAAGTCTATGCACACGCGGATCTGGCCATTCTTCTTGCGCACAGGCACAATGCTGGATATCCAAGTTGGGTATTTAACTTCGCGAATGAAACCAGCCTCTATAAGCTTGTTGACTTCTGCTTCGATTGAGGGAATGAGCTCGGGGCGAAAGCTCCGTTGAGCTTGCTTAATCGGGCGAAACCCCTTTTTTACTGCCAAGCGGTGCACAGCTATCTTTGGGTCCAACCCTGGCATCTCCTTGTATGTCCATGCAAATACATCGATATATTCTTTCAAAAGTGTGACATATATTTCTTCATCTTCGTTGGAAAGGAGTGAACTAATGAAGATAGGTCGAGGACTTTCAGGAGTTCCTAGATCCACTTCCTTTAGTTCGTCCACTGCGGCTTGTACCCCTTCTTCTAGCTCTTGAGGTGCATCTTCTGCATCTTCACCCTCGGTTGGAATCTCATCGTATAATGTTATATGAAATGACGATGCCATCTCATCTTGACTTGGTGTTGCCTCACAACTTGAATCAATATTTTCTTGACTTCTTTCTCGCACTTGGGTGTGTACAATGGTTTTTGGTTGGACCTTCAAAACTTCACCACACGAGACATGGATATTAACTTCTCTTCTCATGCGAGATGGAACGGCACTCCTGAGCCTTTTTGAGGGTTCCATTTCAGTAGGAGGGTTGGTCTGCTCCTTAGAACTCTGAGTAGGCCCGATTCTGTCATGTACTGATTTTCTCTTAGCAGGTTTGGGATTCGGCCCAAGTCTACGGAAGACTGATTGTCGTACTTCTACATCTCCGATTCTATCAAAAACAGACCGTTTCTTGTCACCTTCCTCCTCATCTGTAGAAGTGATGCAATTACTTGTGGCTCTATTTATGAATATTCGCACTGGCTTAGGGGGAATATAACCCAATCCTTTCCGTTCATGTGGCTCCTGCTGATTGGACTTGCCTTTACCACCAGCTTCTGGGATGAGTTTCCCCAGCTTTTGTGGCTCTTTGGGATCATATCCAGCTTTGAATAGAAGTTTATATGCATTAGGGTCGAAGCCGCCAGTGCGCTTAGCGGGCACTGTTTGACTTGCCCCAACTTGAGCTTCATCTTCAAGCGATTTAACTGGAGCTGCTACTTTTAATGTCTCAATCCTTGCGAGTGGGAAAACAAGTTCCTTGTCGCAATGAGCTTGGTCTACAACTTTCTTGCCTTTCCACTTTGGATCAAGAGGTGTGTCAACATTGCTTCGCTCGGCTTCCTCTACAACTTGTTTCTTCAAGTAAAACTTTGCATCTGCAAAGTATGATTCTGCTTCAATGAAGGGAGTTTGATCAGCGACTACCTTTTCTATCACCCCGCCTTTTTCAAACATGAGGCATTGGTGCCAGGATGAGGGAACTACTCCATTCTCATGTATCCAAGGCCGGCCCAGCAGCAAGTTGTACGACGTCCTTGCATCTATCACATAACATAGTGTACTTGAGTTTAGTGTTCCGATCCTGAGGTCGAGTCTGATGGTACCCAGTGCTCTTTGTCCACCTTGATTAAATCCTTGGATCATTAAGCGGCTTTGAGAGAGCTCATCGGTGGAGATGCCAAGTTCTTTCATAGCTCGGAGTGACAGAATGTTCACAGCCGACCCTTGATCAATCAAAATCCTTTTAATCTTTTGCTCACGAGCATAACCTTCAACAAACAACGGACGATTATGTGGTGTACCACCAAGCAATAGATCCTCATCCCTAAAAGTTATCTCGGCGGTATAAGACGCGACTTTGTGGACTTGAACCTCGTCACCTCCCTCAATCACGGGGAATGAACATTCCTCCTCTTCAACATGTCTTTCTTTAATACTCAAGCGAGTTCCAAGAATATTCGTCCCATGCGGAGGAAGCGTCTTCGGCATATATTGAGCCAGGGCAACTGGTGTTCGAGACGTGCTGGGACGTCCTCTCATCTTTGTGCCATAGGCGAGGTCCCTTGCTGGCTTTCTCTCAACCCATTGCTTCGTTATTCTCTTCAAAGATCTAACATGTCCAGCATTGTTCCTTTGTTTTTTGCGGGTAACAATTACCCAATCCTTCTCGCATACCAGATTGACCTGTGGTAATTCCGGCTGTTGTCTAGTAGCATGTTTCACAATAAATGGAAGCGGGCGTTTGTATTGCTTGCCCCCATCCTCTTCATCACTCTCCTCAACTAACGGAGCGAACCTTCCGCATGAAATTTGGTTGGTGCTGGTAGTTGCATCGGCCAGCTCAATCTTTCCATCACGAGCAAGTCTCATCACCTTATCTTTAAAGACGAAGCATTTTTCAATCGAGTGTCCGAGGAGACGATGATACTTGCAATAGTTGGGGTCGTCTACCTTAGAAGCTTCTTCGGGACGCTTCATCTCCGGTAATTCAATCAACTTAAGCTTTAACAATTCATCAAATATGGGTGACACATCAGAGTCCAAGAACGGATACTGTTTTTGCTGCATCTCTTCAATGATTCTAGCACCCCGAGATGGGCGGGAAAATGACCTTAGCCTGGGATTTTCAGTTACTTTGGCGAAAACCCGCATTGGTGCTGTTTTTACGTTCATGGCTTCTTTCTTTTCTGGTTTCGGGAAGGGCTTTCCCCCTTTCTTGAATTCTTGTTTTACAGGTGCCTTGGATGAGCTAGGGATACTTGACATGCCGAGCCCTCCATTGGCTTCAATACTCAATTCCATGTCGTGAGTACGACTGGATAGTTCTTCAAATGTTCTAGGCTTGATTCCCTGCAAGATATAAGAGAGCTCGAAGTACATCCCTTGGATGCACATTTCAATTGCGGAGCTTTGTGATATCCTCTCTTTACAGTTAAGGCACAATTCCCTCCATCTCTCGGTGTAAGTACCCGCACACTCACCCTTCCATTGGTGGGTAGTGGTGAGTTCCAAGAAGCTGACAGTCCTCCTGGTGCTGTAGAAGCGGGTCAAAAACTCGCGCTCCATATCATTCCAGCTATCAATGCAACCATGCTCCAGGTCTGTGTACCAATCAAAGGCAGTGCCCTTCAGAGAGCGGACGAACTGCTTGACGAGGAGATCTCCGTATGTTCCTGCATCATTACAGGTTTCAACGAAGTGGGCGATGTGCTGCCTCGGGTTGCCTTTTCCATCAAACTGCTGGAACTTAGGAGGTTGATAGCCCAACGACATTTTCATTTCTTCAATTCTCTGAGTATATGGCTTTGTGTAAGTATATGAAGATTGTCCTCCCTCGAGCTTCCCCTTGATCGCTCCCATGATGTACTCATTCAACTGCTCAACGGGTATCATGCCCTCAGAAATTGGGATACTCTTCTCGGCGGGTGGTGGACGGGAGATTGTCTCTTCCATTCCTGGCCTACTTTGATGGCGCGAGGACTCGACATCAATCTCATCTCCTTGGGTTTGAGGCTGCTTCCCGGAAGCCCGACTTGTTTCGCCGTTCCTTCCGCTTTCAACCTTTTCGCTGAGCTCATTGATCCGCCTTTCTTGGTTATGCATGAGTGCAGCTATCCCCTCGAGAGATTTAGTGATGTTTGCGAGTTGTTCCTCCACCGAAGCCGCGTTCGTTGTCATAGCGGGCATGATCGTGTATATGTGATTCCATTCTGGTGAGGTTCTCTGCAGAAGTGATGACTGTGATGAACTTCCATTGCTTGGAGTTTTATTCAAGGGAATAGGGCTCGCAGGACTCTTGTTACTTGGAGCTCCCTCACTTGTAGGATTCTGGTCAGCAACAGTTTCCTTTGTAGAGGATGATCCTTTGTCATGTGCAGCTCTCCGTGACATAGTGGAGTTTCTGTCAATCCTTCGGACGATGTGGCGGGCAATGTCCTGGGCCTCGTGGAGTTGCACCCCTAGGTTCCTCACTCGGCTTCGAGTCATTGCTCCTCCCGCGCCTTGGCTATCACCGGAACCGGCCGCTGATGGTGCCCTGGAGCGGGTAGCCTGAGCATATGTCATCTTGGAGGAGGGATTTCTTGACGCCGCGAATCAACAGTGAAGAGATGAGAGGCAGAGTGGTCCCACTAGGTGTGCCAAAATCTGTAAACACAAAAATGTAAACTTTGTATATATTCACAAAATTCCGTGTACAGCGTGTGTATAATTCAATGCAGGTACAAAATCTCTGTCTAGTCCTCTGATTCTTCACTAACGTTATCTATGGAAGTGCCTCCGGGATTCAAGTAGCATAGCCTCCGGGATTTAAGTGGCGCGTGCCTCCGGGATTCAATTGGCGTAGCTTCCGGGATTTAATTGGCGTGACTCCCAACAACGAGCGTCAAGGATTTAGAAGTAATCAATCCTGCAAAATTTCAAAAACACATGCAATGGATTCAAGCCGCCTTAAGGTCCTCAAATGCCTTCAAAAGACTTCAAGA